TGCCCCCTTTGGTCTGGCCGATTCTTCTTTTTTAACATTTAAAACGTTCTGGTTTCTGATTTCTATTGCCTGGGTTTTGTGCGTGGGTTGGCGAGGTGGCGAGGTAGGTCTCTTGCCCCGGCTGTGTGTGTGATTTGTGGGTTTGTGTGGGTGGCTGCGGGAGCTTGGGTTTCGTCGTCTCCCCGTGGTGCCAGCATACAAGGCTACAATGGCCTATCCACACACACACACACACACACACCAGGACACATGGAATTCGAGCAAAGATTGGCAAATACGGCGGCAAAGTGTCGCGGTCAGACCAAGTATGAATAGCTGGGAACGAGGGTTGTTTGCATGTTTGTAGTGCAGGGAATAAATAACGCGACGATACGATTGGAGGAGGCGGTGCAACGGGCAGTAAGAGTGCGATACAAAGTGCGAGATACGAGATGCGAGATGCGAGATACGGAATACGATGGATGCAGAAGCAGATGCGAGTTGAGTCGACGGGCGGCAGGTGGGTGCGAGCGGGGAGTGGCGACGCGCTACGATCGGGCCTAGGCGAGGTGGTTAGAGTCATAGGCGATCCAGACGGGGTGTTGGGGGAGACGTCTATGCTCGGACTCTTTTTCGGGGTAGGGCACGTTATCCGGCGAGTAAGGCGCGTTATTCCTATCGACGCACCTAGCCGTGGGAAACGCGAGGAGGAAGGCAGCATGCACGGTTTTGATCTCGAGCTTGGCGAAGCGCATGCCCAGACAGACATGGCGACCTGCGCCCCAGGGTACGAACTCGTTGTCGCCGCGGCCTTCGCCGCGTTCAAAGCGACCGGGGTCGAATTTCTCCGGGTCGGTGTAGATGGTGCTGTTGCGGTGGGCCGAGCCGAGCCAGAACCCGATAAACTCTTTGTTGTTGATGCGTTCTCCGCTGATCACCGATTCGGTCTGGGACGCCTTCGAGTCCGTCTGCAGCTTCCGCCGGAAGATGAGCGAGGTCATTAGGATGCGCAGTGTCTCGTCCAGCACGTGCTCGTAGTACGGCAAGCTGCTCTCCCAGACCTCCAGCGGCGTGCGTTCCAGCTTCTCCTGGAGCGAGAGACTGTCGTAGTCATCCCCCCTCTCCTCCGCGGCCCTGCGAAAGACGCTCTCAAACTCGCTGCGTACGCGGTCGCGCGCCACGGGATCCGAGTGCAAAAAGAGCAAAAAGTACGAGGCAACACCGGTCGTGTTGATGATGGCGGCAAACAGACCGCCCATGATGAAATCCTCAATGACGCGGTCCGAGGCGCCCCGGTCGATCATTTCCTGGATGTAGTCGTCCTCGCGGCGGTTTTCCTGGCGACGTTTCTGCAGCGTGCCGCGAATCTCGGCCGACATTTTGACTGCGCCGTACCATTTCTTCACGGTCGAGGGCACGGGAAAGAGGGGGAAATGGGTGGGCATGAATCCCACGTTGTCGGCAAACGTCCAAAAGGGGCCTTCCATCTTTCGCACCGCGTTGATGTCGCGCGCGTGTTCGGCGAGACCGACAAAGAGCACGCTGATCTGGAAGACGAGCGGGTAGATGGTGTCGTGGACGGTGAACCTGCCGTTGTGCGCGGGGAGGGTTTTGAAGAGGTTGACTGCGTGGGCGACCATGTGCGGGATGTTGTTCTGGAGGCGTTCGGGCTTGACGGCAAGCTTGAGGTTGTAGACGAAGCCGGCGGCACCGGTGACTTCGTCGGGCTTGGGCTTGGAGATCCACTCGGGCAGCTGCGGGATGCCGGCAAACATGACCTCGTAGGCATTGTTAAAATCGAGGCCGCGGTCGTTGAAAAACACCTTGCCGTCGACCTTGGGGTTGTTGGTGATGGTCATGATGTGACCGCGGCTGTTGACGCGAACGGCGGTCTGCTTGGGGGGCGACTTGTGCCAGGACTCGGGATCTCCAAAGATGGAGCGGAGGAACGAGTTGCGCTTCTCGTACAGCTCGATGGGGCCGATTCCGGGCAGCACTGCGTCCGAGTAGGCCTTGATGGGGGAAGCATCGCGACGGAGCGAGGAGGGTGCTCGAAGCAGATTGTTGAAGAGGATGGCCACGAGCACCGCCGCAACGGCCCAAAAGTAGGGCGACGACGAGAGGCCGCCCGAGGTCGACACCTCGATCATGCTGAATTTTTTTTTTCTGGCAAGCCCGTTTCAATCGATTATTCTGTTTGCCGATGCTTGTAGCCAACAAGTTTTGATCACGGTGATCACGGGGATGGTGGTGTTGAGGGTGGTTGGGGATGGAGGCGAGGATGTCGTGACCTGGAAAGAGGTGGGTATGATATATGCAAAGTCAGGAGAGAAGAGCAAAGTCGAGGTGCGGGTGGTAGATCAGGTCATGGAAGCGCAAAAAAGTGAGGTTGAAGCATGACACACAAGAGGGCAAGGGCTAGCCAAGGGGGAGAGAGAGAGAGAGAGAGAGAGAGAGGGCGCTCGCTTGGCAGTGTTTAGCAAAGGTCCAAGCGTTTGTGAAGCACATGGAGGGAGGGGGGCTGCAGGAGATTGCCTGACTAGAAATAAAATGCGAGCTCAGGAAAGCGAGGAGCGCATACTGTAAGCTGCGGTATGCAAGAGGAGAAAGAGGAGAAAGGCACACATACAGTACTAACCAGGGTGGGGGGCCCCCAAGGCAGTCCCTCTTGCCGGTCAGCCGAGGGTCCGCCGCTATCAGCAGCACGAGCAGCAGCAGCACGAGGCAGTGGTGTACTGTAACAAGCAAAGGGTCGAGCCGACGGACACGGACACGGACATGGACACGGAGAAGGACAGAGGGGCGGGTCAGCTCAGCTCAACGGAACGGCGTACAAGGGCGGTGGGACGCAAGTCCAAGCTACTGTACAGTACAAGCTAGTGATTTGCAATACAGCACATGCGCAGCGGTGGGGGGGGGGGGGGGGGCTGTTCGAGCGAAGTTAACCAAGCGGAGCAAAGAGAGAGAGAGAGACACCCCACACACCAGCACACCAGAGCAGGGAGAAGGAGAGAGACGGAGCGAGGGAATGATGCATCGGCGAAAAGACGTCAGAAGAAGGCACGGCAACTAATAATGGGTGCAATGAGCGGGGCGCGGTTATGGAAAGAAAAGAAAAAGAAAAGAAAATAGTCCCGCGGAAAAATATCGACGATAGACCAAAGGCGGAACGGAGAACAATGGGACAAGATCCTTGTACAGTTACTGTAGTAGAGCATGTCTGGGCCTCTGTGTTCAGCCGCTAAGGGGACAGCGTTGGGATGCGGTCTCGTTGCATGAATAAAGGTTGAGCTGGCTGGCTGACTGGCTGACTGGTGGGCGGGTGAGTAGAGGCACTACAGTACAGTACAGTACTTACCTTGGTCATGCAAGGAGCGAGATACAGTAATGGGAACAAGCTCATATGCCGGCACACGGACGAGTCTAGTAAAAAAAAAAAAGAGTAAAGTACTACAGTAGTGTAGTGTTGGGGATGGGGAAAGAGGAGAGGAGAGCTAAGGGTAGCGAAGCGTGTGTCCGAAGCGGGCAGACGAGACATTTCACTCCTTGGCGGCGGCGTGTCAAGACGGAAGCCCACCACGGAGATCTCGGAGAGGTGTGGTCGGACTAATATTGTATAGTACATGCGGACTCGACGGGTGGGTCTCAGGGAGAGAGCACAGAGAGAGAGAGAGAGAGAGAGAGAGATCTCGGCAATGCGGCATGTGGTCGATGTGCAGTAGCATGGTAGAGTACAGTGACAGTGACAGTGATAGTACTGTACTGTACTAGCGTGTACAGTATGCCTGCCAGAGTTGTCTTGAGCAGCAAGCAAGCAAAGCAAAGCAAGCCCAGTCCACCAAATCGCAGAGAGAGAGACAGATTATTACTGGACATTGGCACGAGTGTAATCCCAATACCGATGGAATAGCGCAGCTTCCCGAGTATACTTACCAGTACAAGTACAGGTACAGGTACAGGTACAAGTATAGTACGATACAATATATTAATACTACGGTAGCGTAGCGTGTGCACGTACTGTACAGTAGGGTACAGGAATGAGCTGATTCCTTGTCTTTGTTCTGCCTAATCTGTACTATCGGTAATCGTCTTAGCATACAGAGAGAGAGAGAGCATGGAATGTGTCGATATGCAGTACGAGTACAGTACAGTACAGTACGAGTATGTGGCTCGATAACATGCCGCTACAGCACAGCACTACTGTATTTGTATTTTGGTTTAGGCGTACAAAAGCCTGCCTTGCCTGCCTGCCTGGCTTTAATCGCTGCCGTGTACTGTATGTACTACGGTATACTGTACTTGTACAGTAGCAGCATGTGCTGGCGGATACACTAGTAGTATGTGGGTGACTTTTTTTCTTTTTAAAAAGAAATAATCCGGCTGGCTTTTACTCGAGAGCTTACTTGTACTGTACTGTATGGTGGTAAGCTAAGCTTTGTGTGCAATGAATGTCTCAAAAAAGCATGCACGACACATAGAGGCCGAAATGCAATCCCATCCAATGCGATCCCCATTCATCATGCCCATGTCCATGCCCGTGTCCATGCCCCGATGCAATACAGTCGAGTCCCCGTTATCACCACCCAACTCTTCATCCGTTCAACCTCCCCCACCATTCTTGCCCGTCGGTACCACCAACATCATTATTATCATTATTATCATCATCTAGTAGACCGTGCTGTTTTTATTATTATTTTTCACTTTTCTTTGTTCACCGAAATTGTTCTGCAACGGATGTATTGACCGTGGATGTGTGTGTGTGTGTGTGAAGAAAGGTGCATCCGTCGGGGTGGGTGGGTGAGGGTGGGTCATTGCTGCTTTCTTTGCACAAAGATGAAAAGATGAAATAATGAAACGATGAAATGATGAAAAGATGAGAAAAGGGCGAGTTCGGTTGCCGGTCCCACATACCCAAAATAAAATAATAATAAAAAGGAAAGCAGCATCAACGACATGCCATAATGAATTGTAAGACGCAAAGTGTATATAATGCTACCTGTATGGATCTAAGGACAAGCTCTGGTCGAATGCCCGAGTGGTTATGGGGCTGGCTTCAAGATCTATTCGTAGCAATCTTGGCCATTTGCTTGGCTTTGTCTAAACAACTCCAGTTTTTCCAGGGTTCGAATCCCTGTTCGACCAAAGGATTTTCTTTTTTTTTTCTTTTTTCTTATACACCATCGTAGCCACGCTCTTTCTTTTTTCTGATATCCAGTCTAACATTGAAGCATGATGTGGAGGAAAGAAAGAAAGAGGAAAAGGGACCGGCTACGTGCAACACGCGGAGGCCCGGTCCAGTTGCACATCATGTTCCCCCATTACTGTAGCACCACCTCGACTGTACAGTACTACTCTTACTGTACCTTGCCATCAATCCTTTTGACCACTTGTCTCTTTCGTCGGCAACACCTCTCTCTCTCTCTCTCTCTCTCTCTCTCTCTCTCTCTCTCTCTCTCTCTCTCTCTCTCTCACATAGAGCCAAGTCAAGTATATTGCTTACTTACTCTCACTAGCTTTAGGGCCCAGCGCTGCAATCAAAGCCCCACGGTGCCAAGAAGCAACCAAGAGACTGACGAGGAGATGATGCCACCATCACAACCACTGTCGAGGGTCAGGACGCAAGGTTTTGCAGGCTACAGCGTTGCATGGTCACCCTTTTTCGACCGCAGGCTGGCCGTGTCTTCGTCGGCCAACTACGGACTGGTCGGTAATGGACGGCTCCACATTCTGTCGCTAGGTCCAAATCCGGCGTCGCTCGATCCAGATCTCGTGGTGGAAAAGGTATTTGACACGCAGGATGGGCTGTACGACTTGGCGTGGAGCGAGGCACACGAGAACCAGCTCGTGACTGCATCGGGCGACGGATCGATAAAGCTGTGGGACATTGCGCTGCAGCAGCATCCGATTCGCAACTGGGCCGAGCACAACCGCGAGGTATTCTGCGTCGACTGGAACAACATCAAGAAGGACGTATTTGCGAGTTCCAGCTGGGACTGCAGCGTGCGCGTGTGGCATCCCGAGCGACCGACATCGCTGCTGGCCATCACGGCCCACACGGCGTGCGTCTACAGCTGCGCCTTTTCTCCGCACAGTCCCGACCTGCTTGCCACCGCCAGCGGAGACGGACACATGCGTCTGTTTGACCTCCGACAATCCACGGCAGCAGCAGCGGCACCCGTCGCCACCGTGCCCGTCGGCGGAGAGGTGCTGAGTGTCGACTGGAACAAGTACCGTCCCATGGTGCTGGCCACCGGCAGCACCGATCGAGTCGCCAAGACCTGGGATCTGCGCCACCTTGGCTCTGCACAACAGACCCCCGCCGGCATGGGTGCAGGCATCGACACCACCACCGCCGCAACCCCACTCGCCGCCATGCTCGGCCACGAATACGCCATCCGTCGAGTAGCCTGGAGCCCACACAGCCCGCATCTGCTCGCCACGGCCAGCTACGACATGACCGCACGCGTCTGGGACACCGACGCCGCGGCCCGCTCCACCGTCTCTGGCCTCCCCGGTGCGGCAGCCCAGGCCACCTCGATGCGCAGAGTCCACGACGCCCACACCGAATTTGTCGTCGGCATCTCGTGGAGCCTCTTTCAAGAGGGGCTTGTGGCTTCCACCGCCTGGGACTGCGAGACTCATCTCTGGGGTGCCCTTGGTTGAACCTATTGTCTTACCCACGCCCACTTGAATCCAATTTACCATTTTACCATGTTTTTCTTTCTTTCTTTCTTTTTCTTCCTCTCAGCATTGAGTGGGATCCAGTGTCCTCTCTTGTATGGGAGTTGTCTGTGAGTCCATGCTTGGGCACACAAGGTAGCGCAACAGCGTCGAGAAAAAAAAAAAGAGCCACGGTACGGTTGTGCTTTGGTTGTACTGTATCAGACACGCGCTGGATTTTCCAACATGTCGACTAACTTTACTGTACTTCTGTGTGTATGTGTATGTGTTGTGTGTATGTGTATGCATCATTAATTCATGATTCTTCTTTCCGAGATTGACGCTCGTGCCCATGAATATTCAATTTATATAATGACTTTTATTTTTATTTTTCATATTTTCTTGTCTCGCGCTCGACCCGACGACGACATTCTTGTGTTGCCTGTATGTGTCACCGTCCATTCCATCTTGCTTCTCGACGTCGTCGTCGTCGTCTTCTCTTGCACTCTCTCCCAGTTCCTCCTGTAAGGGGACTCGTATAGACCTCTACTTGCTACTGCTCCTGGTGGTCATTGAGCAAGCAAGCCAGCAAGCAAGCATCAAGATCATAGAAGCCCACTTACCTCCCCCCCCCCCCTTCTGGAGACACGTACAAAGACCAAGAGGGCATAGAGAGAAGAAGAGAGCGCGCTCGCTTTCGGAACAAGGACGACACGGGTCTCCACCATGACACCCCTCGTAGCGCCCATGTTTGGGTCAGCGGGCCAGCTTCCAAAATACACATTTGCCATCAACTCTGTCTCCGAGGCGGCCGACGCGGGCATGGTCGACATTACCAAGTCGCGCTACGATCTGTCCACCTTTACCGGGCGGCTGCAGCACTTTACCTCGGTCACCTCGCCGCTTACGCTGCTGGCGTCTACGTCGGAGCTCAAGGCGGCCAGAGACCTTGTGGATGGCTACGAGGCCAAGTTCCCCAGCGATCGGCGCCAGGGCGTCTACCTCGTCACCCGGCCCGAAGCCGAAAAGTACTGGCGCGCAAGGCAGCTGGTCGACTCGAGCGTGCATCCAGACACGGGCGAGGTCATCACGCTCCCCTTCCGCATGTCGGCGTTTGTGCCGACGAATCTGCTCGTGGTGGCGGGGATGCTCATGCCCAACCCGAGTCTGGCGGGCATCGTGTTCTGGCAGTGGGTGAACCAGTCGCTCAACGTGGCGGTCAACTACTCCAACGCCAACAAGAGCGTGCCTATGAACATGCGCGAGGTGGGCACCGCCTACGCCGCCGCCACCACCTCGGCGGTCGCTATTGCCGTCGGCATGTCCCGTGCCGTCCCCCGTCTCCCCCTCACCCCCGCTGCAAAGAGCATCCTCGCCACCCTCGTCCCCTTTGTCAGCGTCGCCTCCGCAGGTATCGTAAACATCTCGTGCATGCGCTGGAAAGAGATCCGTGACGGCGTCGGAATCTATATCCGCGACAAGAACGGCAACAGACACAAGATCGGAGACTCGCCCATCGCTGGTCAACGCGCCGTCGCCATGACTGCCGCTAGTCGCGTCCTCACCAACAGTGCGTCCCTGCTGCTTTTCCCCTCCCCCCTCCTGTTCTACTCTCCCTCTCACTCTTGCTCTCTTAAACTCGGCTCTCTCTCGACATTGCATGCCAACTTGAACTCACACACAACTCTTGCCCCCTTTTTTTTCTTTTCTCTCGCCCCTTTCCCCGCGGGGGAAAACCAGTCCCAACGCTAATCCTGCCACCACTGGCCCTCAAGTATCTGCAGCGCAGGAAGCTCGTGCCTTCATCCGGCCCCCTGGCGCGCGCAGTGGACTTGACACTGATCGGCACGAGTCTGCTCGTCTTCCTGCCGCCTGCCATCGCGACTTTCCCCCAGGTCGCCGACATCGACCCGGCACGACTCGAGCCGCGCTTCCACCAGCTCCGTGACGACGCCGGCGCGCGTATCTCCTCCGTCGAGTTTAACAAGGGTCTCTAGAGCTGTCTCTTTTTCCACATTTTTCAGCCAACGAACCAGGAAACGGGGACTGATGCACCGGTCAAATGCAAATCTTTTCACCCTCCATTCCACTCAACTAGAAGATATAGCAAGAAACGACGCGCAGTCACAAGCAGTAAAAACAAAAAGCACATTGCAAGTTGGAAGAGCGTATAGGATTACAGAGATTCCGAACATACTGCGTCAAGAGCGACGGAGAGGCAAGGTGGAGCAAGGGGGGGCAGGCGCGATCAGATATCGTTCGTGTTAGCGAGGGAACAAAAAAAAGGGAAACAGCAAAAAAGGACCAGGGAGTAGGGGAGTAGGTACACCACTTCGCACTGCTGCTGACGCTGACGCTTACTGCAACGAGGTGGTCGCGGAGCCGGTCGCCGCACGTCCACCACATCCCTGGTCGTGAGCGTGGAGAGAAATATATACAATATCAACATCGACATCGACATCGAGGGCAGAGGGCAGAGATGCCAAAAAGAAAAAGGTGGAGGAGGTAAATGAATGTGAACGACCAAGAAAGGGGGGAAAAAGAAACCAAGTTCCCAAAACCAGAGGTATAATGCTGCCAAAAAAAGGAAAGAGATCGTTGGTTGGGTTTGGTTGGGTTTGGTGCTGTGGATGCAGTGGGTGCTGTGGATGTACGACTTTGTTGGG